AAAAATATCATAAAAATCTAAATTCGCTGCCCAAAACCTAATCCGGCCAATTTTAGAGTTCTGGCATGGCAAGCCGACGTGCTCGGCGCCAGGGCGAACGCTGCCTTTGGGGTTTTAGTCGTGGCGGTCTGCCGGGCTTTACTAGCAGTTTTTGGCTCATCTGTTGTCCCTCTTACTTCGATTGGCCACAAGGGTATTCGGAATCTAATTCCGAGCAGATAAGGAAAATCTTTACTTTTTTTTGTGGTCGGCAGCTGCTCTGGCGGAGCGGCAGTCGGCAGTTGACAGTTAACCTCCCTTCTCTAACGTCTGATTTTTCTTCTTCGGCTGGGACTGACGACTAGGGATTAAGTTTTCGTGTGATACGAAATATTTATAACCATCTCACGTTGATTTGGACCGTCCATCGCGATCGATCTCATCCGTCCGATTGCGCCTAAAGAGGAAATAAATTTGGACCGTTCATTACAATTAATCTCAACTGTCCGATCGCACCTAAGGGGAAAACAGATATGGGTTGTCCACACGCAGGATCGATCTTGGACCGTCTGATCGCAGGGCACGCGGATCGCCAACGTGGCCTCCTGGTAGCACCAACGTCAACGCGCCTTGCCATAGGCGCGCTCTAGTTCGTCGAGACTGCTGACTGGGAGGTCTTACGTAGTCGGATTTTCTCTATTTGTACTTTGATCATCTGTTTCTAATTTTTCTTTCAAAAACATCCCTAAAACCAAAATTTTCACCCTTTTTTTTCAAAATTATTTTTAATCTCATCCCTAATTCATTTTTTCTCAAAATTTTACTTAAGTAAAAATAAAATAAATTAATTAAATATTTTAAATTAATAATTAAAGAATAAAAAATTTATTTCGAGTTATTTTTCGAGACCGGGTATTATAACTCTCATCTCTTAAGAAAATTTAGTTCTTCAAATTGGTCATTATCTCATTCAGTTGAACAGTTAGGAGTATTGGGCCCTAAATCTTGATTCCAGTTCCTAGGTGGCCTCTTCATGTCTATGGTTCTGCCATACGACCTTAATGAATGAAATTTCTCATTTGTGGAGTACTCTACTCTTTTAGTTTACAATGTTTACTGGTACCTACTCATAGTATAGATTCTTTTAGAGTAAAGGAGGCTCGGGGGACAGGATATGTGAGGGGTTTAGGTTGTACTTGCGTAGCATAGATACGTTGAACACATTATGAATCATGAATGGTTCTGAAAGTAGTGTCAGTCTATGGTCAGTCATACCAATCTGGTTTAAGATCTCAAATAATCCAATAAAACACGTATATAAAAAAAAACTAC